AATATTTAGATCTTTTAGCTCAGTGATTCTGCCGCCTTCCTCAAAAGCAAAAGGTCCCGAGTTCAATCCCGGGTACAAAAAAAAAAGTTTAGATCTTTAATCCATTTTGATTTTAGTTTAGTGCATGGTGAGAGATAATAGGTCTAGTTTTAATCTTTGGCAGGTTGAAACCCAATTTTTCCAGCACCATTTATTAAAGAGGCTATCTTTCCTCCAGTGAGGATGTTTGGCTCCTTTATTGAAGATGAGATGGCTGAGTGTGTCTGGAGTTGCTTCTGCATCTTCTAATCTGTTCCACTGGTCCTCAGATCTGTTTCTTTTCCAGTACCATCAGCTACTATCTTTTTAAAGCCAGTTTTAGGCAGACACAGTGGTACATTCCTGCCCATAATCCCAATGTCCGGAGGCTGAGGCAGGAGGACTGCAGTTAGCTTGAGGTCAGTCTGAGCTACATAGAGAAACCCTGTGTGGAAAAACAATAAAAAATAAACAAATACAGTAAAATAAAAATAAACAGCAAGCTTTGACGGCCCTGATAATCATGCTTAAAATAGATCCAGTTCAGAACAGGTTAATTGATATATGCCAAATAACCACCATTTGGCCTCTTTCATGTTCATTAGCTGATCTGTATAGGTTTCCATCTTCAACCTGATCTCTGATGCTCATTTAGCCCCTCCCTGCTCCTCTGGCCCCTATTCATAAAATGAGGATTTCAGTGGTTAACCATTTCAGAGCTTATCTGTGAATTAAAGACAGATCAGATACATTTAATTGTGCATTGTTGACTTTCCCTGTCTTTTACTGGCAGCACCCCATTGTTCTCAGGGAAATTACCTTTCCCCCATTGTGTGCAGTCTCAGAGCCCTGCCCTCCCATGACTCCTGCTAAACCAGTCAGACCATCTCCTGGGAGCTTAGGTCTGGGAGCTCGAGATCAGAAAGTGGTCTTCAAGGGTGGTTCATTCCGGCAGCAGTATTGAAAAGTTGACAGTAATGAGTTCCTGTCCCCAGGTCCCTGGAGCTGCCCTATTTCCTGCCCTTACTCAGTTGTACTTCTGATTTTTTGAGCTACTGCATCGTCTCATTTTTTTTGTTTGTTTGTTTCACAATCTAGAACCAAAATTAACTACTTGTCGACCTATTAGAGATTTCTGTATCTTGAATTTTTTAAGCCAAAGTAATATATGTCAACTTTAACACTATTCTTCCCCTTTGAAGAGACTGCCTTTGCCTCCAAAACTAAGATAGTTTATCTTTTCTAAATGACACTGCAATTTCCAAACATTTTACCATAATCAGGCTATTTTCTCCTCCCCAGATGTTCTTTCATGTTTCTGCTTCTGTCAGAATCCCATCCTTACTAAAACCTAGAGTTTAAATTAAATTTTATTGAAACATCCTCTCATCTCACCTCCCGTGATGAACTCTCCTTTCTATGAACCTGATAATACATGTCCATTTTGGCCACACTTAGTACTATCTTCCTTACAAGAGCATAAATCCCCTGAGGGCTGGAGGAGCCCCTTATCCTGAGACACCAATGCCTGGCAGTAATGTGGTGAATGAATACTTATTTTGATTATGTGTCCTATATAGTTTGCATTTCTTGCTGTGGGAAATTTAGAAGGGGGTGTGAAAATGTGAAATGAATTCTGTCTTGAATTCTATTTCATATTTGAGATTCAACAGCTGAGGTTCTTAGCTGGTCTTTAGGGGACCTATAAATCCCTGAACTTGGAAGCAAGTGTTCTTTACTGGTCTTCATATGTTCCCAATAGTAATTTTCCAAAGTCAGGGTCTAAAGCTTGTATTAGATTCTCAAAGAGGTCTGTGACCCATAAAAAGCTCAGAATGACTGGCTATCTACGTGTCTGGAAGCAATCGGAGCAAACATTTATCACAGAAAGCTTATATATTGGAAACTATGCTAGGCCCGTTCTGTTTAAGTTATCTTGTATCCTTCCAGCAACCTAATGCAGTAGTCTTGTTATAACTCTAAGTGTAGTAATAGTGATTATCATAGCTTACATTTATTTTGTACTTTCTGTGTGCCAGGCACTCTTCCAAGTATTTATGTAAATGAACTCCCTTAGATCTAATGAATAGCTAATATGTTTGATTCTTCCCATTTTATTTTATTTATTTATTTATTTATTTTTAAAGTTCTGCTTTTTTTTTTGGTGCTGGGGATTGAACTCAGGACCTTGCACTTTTGAGGCAGGCCTCAGAACCACTGAGCTAAATCCCCGGCTCTTCTTCCCATTTTATAGATGATAGAATTGGGATGCAGAAAAGTTATGTTAATTTGAATTGATTCCACTAGTGGCTGAGTTCTGTGTCCAAACCCAACAGGTGAACTCCAGAGCTGCCTCTCTTGGCCATTTTGCTGTTGGATCACAACTAGCACATGGGAAAGCTAGGGTTCAAGTCTGGAGAATTTGCCTTCTTCATTGCTTCTCAACCTAGGTCAAATGTTTTGGTTACTCACCAAGGGGTAGAAGCTAATTTAGAACCTATATTTTGTTTGATTCCAATGCTCAAGCCATTTCTACTTTGTCTTCTGCTATTGAGTGTCCCTCACTGGGCTCAGTCCTTGAGAGATGTTGCAGAGAGAGAAATTGGTCCCTTCTGTAGTAGAGTCCTAAAGTACTTGGGAAGAGACAAAAACCTTCATTACCAGGCCTTAAGCTTCGTAAAGGCAAAGAGTGGACTTTTCCATTATTTGCTTTGTCCACAGTATACATAGCAGGCACTCAATAAATGGTTTTGTTCCCACCAATCCGTGTGTTTATAAAAACAGAGATCAGTTCTAGGACAATTTATCATCTGGGGACTTTTGCAGGTGCCCAGGTGAATATCGTAAAGGAGTGCTATAACCCATTGTGCTACCAAAGGAAGCAACTGGGTTATGCCATGCACAATTCAAAAGCATTTTTAGATATTTTCATTCCTCTAATCCTCACATCCACCCTATGTACTAAAGTACAGAAAGATCACACAGCTAATACTGCACTTAGGTTCAAATTTAGCTATTGGGGGGCCAGGGATTTAGCTCAGTGGTGCTGCCACCTGCCTCGAAAGTGCAAGGTCCTGAGTTCGATCCCTGGTACAAAAAAAAAAAATTAGCTATTATGATTTGATGACCACTTCTCTATGTATGTGTAAATGAGGTAAATGCAAGTAAGAGAAGCATGGTAGAATGGAGTCCCTCCAAGAAGAGGAAAGTCTTGGTGTGTTGTGGACAACTAGGATTTAATAGAGGGGACCTTGATGCCTCGGGCCTGTGAAAGAACGAACCACAGAAACATCATATGCAGTCTGTGGGGCCATGTGATGATCTCGTCATTCTTCGCTTTCCATCTGAAGCTTTCTGCAACCCTGCAACCCTGCAACCCTGCAACCCTGGAAACAAGCACATCTTGAAGCAGTGTTTCCAATAGTGCGATTGATTTGCTCTAATCCTCCTGTGCTCTCTGATGGGATCTTTCTCATGATCAGTGACACGTTTGCAGAGAGCTTTGATCCAGTCGCCTCTGGTCCGAGGCCTGAAAGTCATTAAGTTGGGGAGCTAGGAAGCTGGGAGTGAGGGTGAATTTGTTGCTAATTGTTTAATCCTAGTCACCGAAGGGAATTTTTCTGAGTCCAGTAGGATTAAAGCAGGGTTATTTCAGTACAACAGCTATCATGAGGGGCTGTCCTGTTGATTGTAGGGTGTGGAGAGCATCCCTGGCCCCTATAGGAGGTTTAGAGGACCCACCAGATGCCAGTCTCAGCCTCCCACGTATGTAACAACCAATAACCAACAGTGTCTCCCTTCAAATATTGCTAAAGAGCCTCAGGGGTATAAGTGAGGGGGTGGAGTCATCCCAGGTTAAAAACCTCTTGTACTGGGGATGTTAGTACATGCCTGTAATCCCAGTACCTTGGGAAGCCGAGGCAGGAGGTTCACAAATTTGAGCCCAGCCTGTGCAACTTTGTGACTTAGCAAGACCCTGTCTCAAAAAAGCTCTGGGGATGGAGGTCAGTGCAAGGACTCTGGGTTCAGTATTCAGTAGTAAAGAAAAGAAGCACTTGTTTAAAGATATAAACACACATATACACGTATGCACACATATAGCGCAGTGTACGGAGTCACCGAGGCAGAGAGCTTTTTAATTTTTTTGCTTTTTGCTTTTCACTTTGGATTTTTCCCCTTTGCTGCTGTAGATATTGTTTTTAGTTTAGTTTAGTTTTTGTTTTTAATCTGAACAGAAATCTTTTCTTCCGTCTTGACTATTTCATAACTGTCCATTTATAAAACCTTTGCAAAGAATTGAGTGTGACTGCTAACAATAATGAACACTACTGTGTGCTTGACACTCTGCCAAGCATTTTCCATGTATTTTTAAAATTTGATAATCAAAATAAGAGGGAAGTCCTCTTATTATCATTTTACAGATGAAGAAATTGAAGTACAGAACATGGAGTGACTACCTAGATTTCTGTTCCTGAGTGAGAGGACTGGGCTTTGGTCTCAGGCTGTCTGATGTCTGGTTTATGTTCTTGTCATAGATACTCCCAAAACATTTTTTTTTTTTTTTGTACGGGGGATTGAACTCAGGACCTTGCACTTAGAGGCAGGCAGTGGAACCACTGAGCTAAATCCCCCACCCAATGACTTTTTTTTTTAATATATAAAACCTACACCATTAGTAATATGTGACCTTTCAGTTCTTGATGTCAGAATTTAAAAAAATATATGTTTGTGATATGTAATAATTACATGCTTTTGGGGAAACTGACACTATATATATATATATATATATATATATATATTCATATCCGGATCATCTTTTGTCCCCTTTTGTCCTTGATCTCAGAATTTTGACAAACGTGATGATGTTTGATCTGACTCACACACTCCTTGCACTGGAATCATGTACAGAAGGAACATTAAGCCTAATTGCTCAACGTGAAAGCCAGCACTGACTGTGGCTGTCTTTCTCTTGTCATCCTCAGAGTGTCTCTATGTATTCCCCTGCCAGTGGAACTACCGTCCTGATCACTGCATGTACGGGAGCAACTGCAAGGAGGCTGAGCGGGAGGGCGTGTCTGTCCTGCATGGGAACCGGGGCGTGTACCATGACGACAAGCAGCCAACCTTCAGAGCGCTCTATGAAGCCATTCGGGATGTAAGTGTGCTCTTGCCACCATTCTCAGACATGTGCTTACGCAGCATAAAGCAGTATGGGCACTTTGCTCATTATGCCTTTTGAAGATGAAATATTCCTAAAGCCTTGAGTGATGCCAGTTTGCCCAACACCAATTACCCTGCATCATTGTCTCCAGGGCCACTTGTCACCTAAGGCTGTCCCACGTCCACTCTTTTTGTTTTTGGTTTGTTTTGGGTTTTGGTTTGGTTTGGTTTGGTTTGGGTTTGGGTTTTTTTGAAACAGGATCTTGCTACATAGCCCAGACCGGTCTTGAATTCACAATCTTTCTGCCTCATCCTCCCAAGTGTTGGGATTATATGCACATGCCATCATCCCCAGTGCAAATCCACTCTCAATATTTCCATACCATTCTCTTATTATTTATCATCTAAATAATTAGGTGGGAGGAAATCTCATATCAGAAAGATAACTCCTTTGTCATTTGCCATGGTAGGAGGTAACAGTAGAATTAAGCACAATAAAAACAAAATGAGGTTATTCTGTTCAAGCTAAAGATGTGCCTAGTTGCCAAACCCTTGAGCAATCAGGTGTCAAGGTGGCCAATTAGACCAAGGAGCCAAACTGAAAGTAGTGAGCAAGCCTTTATTTGTGAAACTGCAACAGTGCAGGCACAAGACAAAAAGGACTCTGCTCCAGTTTTATCAGTTAGGGTTCACTAAGAGCAAAAGAATATATGCAATTTTACAAGGTAGCCTTACAGTGGCTGCCTGCAGAGTCTGGTGTGGAAGAGTGCAAAAAGGATATCCACACACTGGAGAGCCTGAGGATCCAGCCAGAGGTTGAAGGCCTGGAGGTCACTGCAGTTCTATGTTTGGGGAAGCCAAAGGGTCTACGCTGAAGGCTGAAGAGTCTATGCTAGAAGCCTGGAGATGGACATCCAAAGGCAATGGCAGAGACTGGAGCTCCTCCAAAGAAGCAGAAGTGAAACTTCCTTCTTCTTTCCTTTTTTATTCCATCTAGGCTACAAGCCTTTTGGTTGGTGCCACCCACACCCAGGATGAATCTCTCATCTCCAGAAAGTCAGTTGTCCAGACACAGCCGGAGCTGTACTAAACCAATCTGCTAGGCATTTCTTATTCAAGTTGATACCACAGTTAACTATCACACCATTCCTTGTCTCCCATAGAAGGGCACTGGGTGAAGTCAAGTGGATGCAGCACAGTTGGTGGGAATCTTCTTACTGACAAGGAGCCCCCCAAAAAAGACCACTGCATCTTTATGACCCGTGTGTTAAGGCTGAGGATGGGGGAGGAGAAAGGGGTAGGAGTAGAAAGGTACTGGGTTAAAGTGGAGAAAAGTACTTCCAAATGTAAGAGCCTGGGCTGGAAGTGCAGGTCTGTGTTTAATGGTGGCTGGAGTAGGGCAGGAGGTCTGTGTCCTCATTTGCAAAAAACTCCACTACACTGACTAGTCACCTAATCTGACCTGGGGAGGACAGCTTCCCCCCAAGACCTGCCAGGCAAGCCCTATAACAGTTCGTTGTTGGGTCTGAAAAATCACATACAATGGTACCCCCTTATCCACGTTTGCTTTCTATGGTTTCAATTAACATGGCCACCCATGTTCCAAAAATATTAAATGGAAAATTCCCAAAATAAACATTTGATGAGTTAAATTTGTGCTCCTCTGAGTAGCTTGATGACATTTCATGCCATCCATTCTGTCCTTCCCAGGAAGTGAACCATTCCTTTGTCAGGTCTATCCACAACATGTATAATACCTGCCCCTCAGTCATTTAGTAGCTTAGGGTATCTGATCCCTAGGGATCAGTTCTGTCCATGGTTTCAGGCATCCAGTAGGAGTCTGGGAATACATCCCCCATCTATTGTATAAAATTTTGGCAATGAGTGAGACCCCCTCAGAACCTCGGGCCCACCCTTACTGCCTTGAAGAAACTGATCAGCAAGTGTCAAGGAGGAATTAAGAGACATATGTGAACTACCTTGCAATAAATGGGAAGGTTGAAAGAACCTTACCTTGGTTTACCAACTAAAGTCATGTCAAGTGCTACCTCTGAAGCCTTTTGCCTCCTACACTTTGGGAAACACTGTACTTTCCCTTTCCCTTGAGATTGCTAAGGGAAAACAAGAACAAACACTTTCAGTGATCACTCTCCTGAAATTGTAATTTGAGGGCTAGGAATGTAGCTCAGCAGCACAAGGCCTGCCTGGAAAGCACGAGGCCTTAGTACAAAAAAAAATTGTAATTTTAAGACATGGACATAAATGGTTTTTATATTTTTAAATAAATAGGAAAAAAATTAAAAGAAGAATAATATTTTAGACAGAAAAAAATGATATAAAATACAAATTTCATCATTCATAAATAAAGTACTATTAGGACACAGTGGAACACATTTATTCATGTATTGTTTCTGGCTGCTTTGGTGCTGTGATAGTGCAGATGATTATTATAGAGACTGTAGGGTTCACCAAGTCTAAAATACTGTACTTAGACTGGCCCCCTTTACAGAAAAAAATTGCCTAACATTAAATTATGGACTTCATTAGAGGACCCCTCAGGGTTTCATAGACAGGCTTTGGCAGGAGTGAGGTGTGGGGTGAACGCCCTGGTATACTAACACATTTTTGTGTGCATTTTCTTAGGGAGAGTCCCAGGGAATTCCAACTCTGGAAATCCCAGAGTTGTCTTCTGTGCAGGTAAAGAGCATAGCACACATCTAAGCTAACAGTTCCTTCTTCAGCTTTATTTTGCACTGTTTGGTTTTTAAAGCCCAGGTGATTAAATTGCATAGGAAATTTGTTCTGTACTCAGCGATACAGAACAATATCTCACATTTAGATATTAAAGCACTGACTCCAGGGGAAATCCATTCAAGCATACAAGGGGAAAGTAAGTAAGTGTGTAGCAGCTGTGTGTGTATCAGAGACTCTCCGCTTTCTTTGTGATGTGTCAGCCCTAGTTTGGAATTGAGCAATTGTGGTTCTTCAGTTACAACTCATCTTGTTTGTTTTCTGGGAGATTAGAAAGAGGGTCAAATAACTTTGTTTTTTACATGATTCTGCCTAATCACTCATTGTTCCTCTGTTGAGCCTAAAAAGACATTTTTCAATAAGAAAAATCACTATTCCCAGGTTGAAATGTGAGTGACTACAAACAGATTCATCACAAAAGATGTTTCCCCATTTTTTACTGTCCTTACCCCATGGTCAGAGCTTGGCTGTGGGCCAGGACAGGCCTAGCTTCAAATCCCAATTATTTCATTTTTTCAAAATGAACCATGCAAGTATATTCTGGTGGAGGAAGCCAGATGATACTCATAAGCAAAGAAAAATGAAAATCCTGCCAGAGGGTGAAAGGAGTAAAAAGAGCAGGATGGTAGGTCTAGAGTCCTGAGGTGGCCAGGAGTGTTCATGTTCCTGTAGCCAGGGCCCTCAGGAAAGGCCTCTGGAGGCCTAGGACTTGGTGAGGTGGAGTCAGCCATGGGGAAACCCAGGAAGGTCATGGAAGCAGAAGAAATAACTAGGGGAAAGTTCTCGAGGAGGAATGAATTTGGTGTGTCCGAAGGACAGCGTGGAAACCACCATGACTGGAATGGCTGGCTAGGAAAGGGGAGAAGAGTGGGGAGGCTTCCAGGTCACCTGAGCCTTCAAAACAAGGGAGGAGTTGGACTCGTTCCAATCACAATGGGAAGCCCCTGCAGGAAGCAACAGGCTCTGATTTATGCTTGAAAAATATCCCCTTCATAACTAGGCAGAAGGGGTATGAGAGGGAAGCCCAGAGGCAGTTTGCCGACTCATTGCAGCTGTGCTGGTGAGAAATGGATGGGGAAGATGGGGAGAGGAGCATGTTCTGGTTAGGTGGTCCGAGAGCTTGCAGGGCTTGCTCATGGGAAAGGAAAGGAGTTGACTCCATAGTTCCATTCTGCTCCATTGGTTGGGGACATAGGGGTTTAGGCCTGGCTTCAAGGAGTTTATCAGTGGTAGATTGTGCTAGGAAAGAAAAAGTGTCCCAATCCTGGTCTGGGATAGAACTTTATTATGTTCCATAATCTTCTCTGGGAAGAAATTTGCATTTCTGTTAAACACCCTGAAGCAATTGATAAACTTTAAAGGCACTAAGACTTACTCTAGGAAATCAGATAACCACCCACTCTGCTGTCAGGCTATAGTGTCCTGCTTTTTAAACTATTTTTCTTTTTTCTTTCTGATCTTTCTTTGTAAAATGTCTTTGCCAAACATGAATCTTTGACTTGATGTACTAGTGGTCTTTCCCCAAGATGTGATAAATTTTGACATGTGCTCCTGACTAAATAGTCCCAGGAATTTATTTTGGAAAATATGGCTCATGGACATATCCCATGGAAAGACAAGAGAATTAAAACAGAAAAACACCACATATGTTCAGTGTTGGGGCGGGGGGTGACGGCACATATTTGGCACCAAACTGGGCTTGGTAGTGCACACCTGTAATCCCAGCATTCAGGAGGCTGTTGCAGGAGGATCACTGTGAGTTTGAGGCCAGTCTGGGCTACATAGTGAGTACAAGGCCAGCCTGAACTACATAGCAAGATGCTGTCTCAAAAGAAAACAAAAATTGGCACCAGAATTACTAAAATAGCATTCATTTCCAATAAATTTCACTAGCAATTGCTAAAGTCTGGACTATGTGAGATTACCATAGACATACACTAAAGGCTCTTCGTGAAGATTGCTTCAGTGGCAAAAACTAGAAAGAAGTCACTCTCCTGGCATTCTTGGGACTCTGGATTCCATCTCCAGCACTGCAAATAAAATTTTTAAAAGAAACAATTTAATATTTTGTTGTAGTAAATGTCAAGTGAGTATCTACTTGAGTTTTGCTTCTACTCAGAATAAACATGTTCTATGTAGATTGTCTTGACCTTAGAGATATGCATTATCTTTAAATCTTAAGAACTTTAAGAACCCAAATATGTCATCTTTTTTTTTTAAAGCTTCAAAGAAACTGAGGTTCTGAGAGGTTAAATGATTGTGTGGGGCTGCACAGCCAGGTAAAGGTTTGAATTTAGGTTCTTGGAAATCCTTTCATTAACTCATGCAAACCTGTGCCTACATGCTTGACTTCAGCCCTTGTGTTCTTTGTTAGTAAAAGTGATTTGTGTTTTGAATGCCATTTCAACGAGGAAAATAAACTTTCTCTCTCTCTCTCTCTTTTTTTTAAATCATTTTATAGTTTCCCTTTCAAGACAATCTCTTTCAATCCATGTATTACCCTCTCCAGCTGAAGTTTTTGGAAACTGTGCACACTCTTTGTGGACGAATTCCACAGGTTTTCCTGAAGCAAATTGAGAAAACAATGAGAAGAGCCTATGAGAAACATGTCATCATCCATGTTGGCCCCAATCACATGCGCTGAATATGTTGTCTTGTTGCAAGCCAATTAGACATCTTGTGACCAAGGAAACATTAATCTTTATGCCGCCTGGATCTTTTTTGTGTGAATATTTAATAGAGCTCCATGACTATAGGGTTTTAAAAGCCTTGTTAAATTTTGCCACATTAGTTGTCCCTAAAAGAGAATATGCATTTCTTTATTTTTTTCTAAAATCTTACTTATTTCAGTTTTGGAAAAAAAATTTTAAAACCTATTATTATGCATTTAACATTGCTCTAGCAGGATAAGCTCTCAGTGACAAAGAAGTTTTGAGAGCCTTCTTCTGGTGTTATATTTATCTAGCATTCCTGAGACTCTTCCTGTGCTGCAATTGGCTCCCTCACACCCTTGTATTAAAATCAATACATATAGGTCAGTCAGCCAAAATCAAGATTAGATCAATCATAATTCTACCACCCTGTGGAAAAGATTATTATTGTTTTATGGTATTTCCTTCCAGCCTACTTTTTTTTCCCCCTACTTCTGTATTTCCTATTATAAATCTTATTTAAAACAGGCAGTTTCAGACATCCCCCCCAGGCCAGGAGCCTTCCCAGAGAGGAGCTGCACAGGCTCACTGGGTCCCACTGGAGGCCCGCTATTCCATCCCTAAGTACATGCAGATCCAGGGGAGCAGCTGTGTGGCTCAGACCTGCAAGGCTGCAGGCAGATCCCAGTTGGGGGTTCACCCTGACCCCAGAGGCCAGGGTACACCTGCCCAAGCCAAAGGCCCACCCAGAAAGGGGCTGCGCGGGCACACAGGCTTCAACCGGAGGCTCTCCATACCATCAGCCACAGCCAGGGACCTACCTGGAGAAGAGCTGTACAGGCCCTCAAGCAATACCCAGAGACTTGCCCCAATACCATTGATAAGTGAAAGGAGACCCTAGCCAAAACCTGTGCAGACAACAGAAACTGGGGTGCACAAGCCCCAACCAAAGGCCCTGCCAGACAATAGCTACATAGGGGCCCCAGCGAGAAGCCATCCCAAGTGTGCTCAGGTCCAAGCCAGAAGCCCACCCAGACAACAGGTCAGCTCAGGGATCTAGAAGGCCACCACTCTGAACCCAGGAATTGATGTACTAATGAGCAGCACAGCAAAGGCTTCTTGGTGGCTTGCTAAGAATTCAAGACCACTGGGTGAGCAAAAAGTTGCCTCAACAAAGACACAGCAGGCTGCATCTGTTGAAATGAAATAAGTAAATAAGTCCCAAAACCAGACTTCCAGATCACCTAAGGGAACCCCAAAGGACAATGAGATGGATCAGTCTGATACTCAACCACCTGGACTCCCTGAACTGGCAACAAAAGGGGAACTGGAAAACATGAAATCAGAAATAATTTCTCAGATAACAGAGATTGTGCCCATAGTACAAGACATAGTTAATAAATCTAGAGCAGACACAGATGGAAAAATAGAGGAGCTGAGGAACATGATGGAATCCCAACACAGGAAACAAATGGAATCCATAAAACACATGCAAACAGATTTCCAGGAGGTTAAAAACTCCATTGAAAGTTTACCCAGCAGAATAAGCCAATGCGAGGATAGAATTTCATATATAGAAGATAGGATTGCAATTAGTGACAAGGAAAAGAAAAATTTCTTAAAAATAGTAAGAGACCATGAGAAATCAATCAAGCAGCTGCTAGACAGTGCAAAGAATAACATCAGAGTGATTGCAGTCTAGGAAGAAACAGGAGAGAGTACAGATGACATAAAAAAAAAACTGTTCACAGAAGTAATGGCAGAAAATTTCCCAAATAGGGGAAAAGAACTTGACAGAGATAAGTGAGGCATATAGGACTCCAACTAGCTGTGGTCAAAAAAAAAAAAAAATCTACACATAGGCATATGATAGTTAAGATTCCAGAAACCCAACAGAAGAACACAATTCTATAAGCAGTTAGAGAAAAGAAACAAATCACATAAAACGGAAAGCCCAACAGAATCACAGCAAACTTCTGAACACAAACCCACAAGGCAAGAAGAGTGTGGAGTGACATATTTCAAGCCCTAAAGGAAAACAACCTCCAATCCAGATTGATGTACCCTATCTTTCAAAATAGATGGAGAAATAAGATACTTTCATGACAAAAAGCACCTAGGAACTTCATGAATACCAAACCAGCACTACAAAAAATTTTAAGCAATATCCTAAGAAAAGACAAGGAGGATCACAATCCCAGGAAGCCCTGCAGAATGAATCCATCAGGCATGACAAGAAATTAAATGTAAAGGGAAAGAATCCAATAAAAAGAAAAAGTCATGACAAGGATAAGTGAATACATATCAATTATAACCTTCAATGTTAATGGTCTCAATTCACCAATCAAAAGAAATAGACTAGCAGAATGGGTCAAGAAGCAAGACCCAACAGTATGCTGCATACAAGAAACACACTTAATTTGAAAAGAAACTCATAGACTGAACGTTAAAGGGTGAAAAACAATGCTCCATGCAACAGGAACTGGAAAAAAAGCAGGAGTGGCTATCTTCTTTGCAGATCAAGTGGATTTCAAACCAACACTGATTAAGAGAGACAAAGAAGCACACTATATCCTTGTAAAGGGAACAATCCAAGAAGAAGAGATGACAATCATTAATATATATGCACCAAACACTAGTGCACCCAACTATATAAGACAAATACTAACAGACATGAAAAGTCTTATATGCACCAATACAATTGTAGTGGGGGACCTCAACACCCCACTGTCACAAATAGATAGATCAACTAGACAAAAAATAAGTAATGAAATACTAG